CTATCTCTAACCCACCATTAATACTCTTTCCAGGAAATAATTTTATTTATTTAATAAAATATTTGTCTCTAGTAGTTTCTGCATCTAGAAACCTAAAATGCCCTATTATGGCTGAAAAAGTGAAGCAAAACTTAGCTGTTGTTGAAAAATGGCAAAATGCCATATTTTGTTTAAAGTAAATTATTCATGCCTCTAATATACAAATAATGTAAAATGGGGGGAAAAGAACCTTTTGTGAATGTAAGTGCTTTTTGAAAGAAGACAGGACTAAGCATCACTGTTCTGCATATGGGGTATGACATTTTCATTTGGTTCCAAGGTATCTTTTTTTTTCCTGTGACTCTGAAGTTTGTAAACATGCCATAATATTTGGCAGTTGCATAATGCTGATTTCATGCTTCTGTCTTTGTGTAAAGGTGGCTAGACAGAGCAGCGAAATCAATTTCTTTTTCATCTTTGTGGGAAGAGACAAAAGGAGATTGAATGCAGAATCTGCATTAAGGGCATATTAGAATTATAACTCAGCAATCAGCTACGCTTAAAGTGCACACCAGGTGCAGTCAAGTGGAGTTGCTAGACTGTGAGATCCAGCCAACAGTTCAGTTCTAAAACAATCCCTTTGTTTAACCCTTGAAGTAGGTGAAACTTGTATTCATCTGGTACTCCCGCTGCAATGTCAACCTTGCCTTAAATTCTGTCCCCTCCCTCTCCTAAGACAACTCCAGCTTTCCCTCTTCTTGGTGTGTTCTCTGTTTTTTAGGGGCCCCATGCTGTTCCTGCTGCCTATTTCCACTGTGGTCATTTAACATAAAATTTCCCTGCTCACAAGTATTCTGGGAGGATGGAGAGGTGGTTCAGCTGCTAAGAGCTCATGCTGCTCTAGCAGAAGACCAAAGTTCAGTTCTCAGCATCTACATGACTTGGCTCACAAGTGCCTGTAACTCTAGCTCCAGGGGATCCAACACCCTCTTTTGCATTCTGCAGGTACCTGTGTTCTTAGGTTCTCAGAGAAGGACTGGGCAGTCTAAGCCCTCCCCTCTTTACCACTGAGCCTTATTTCCCATTCCCCTTCCTCATGTTCTGCTGTAAACGAGTTACCCATATTACTAGGTTTTAAAATGCTTTTTATTGAGCTTTTGTGCATTTCATACAATAGTTCTTAATCAAATTTAGACTCCCTTCCCCATTCATGCCCCCACTTTCCCCACCCCCGCCGAACCTCTGGTCAAACATTTGAAACCCAGATGTCCTTTGGTACAAGTTCATCCAATGAAGTCTAGTTAGTCTATCTAACGATCTTAAGGAACATTACTCTCTCACCCAGCAGTAATCAGTCAGCAACAGTTTCCAGGTTAGGGCCTGCCTGCTGCCCATGTCCCTGGTTCCACTCTGGGCCCTTATCTGATTGAGTTGGCATGGGTCTTGTGCACTACACCACCATTGCCACAAATTCACATGAGCAAGCTTCTAGTAGTGACCCAAAAGCCTGTTTCCCGACTCTCATGGACCTATCCTCACTCTTACAATCTTTCAGCCCCCTCTTCCACAATGGGCCCTGAGCCATTTTCTATTGGCACAGTTTCCATATCTATTTGTAGAAACTCTGCTCATCTTTCAAAGCTTGCCTCCAGCTTACCTCCTCTGTGCCTTACCCAATTACCCAAAGCCCCTGTCCCTCTGTATTCTCATCCATGCTACTCATATGGCATCTAACACATACGGCTTTGCATTACAAATGTGATCTCATTTAGATTTAACGACAGGCCAAGGAGGCAGGTATTATACCATTTAACAGTTGAGGAAACTGAGTAGCGATTAGGTTAAATAATTTGCTCAGAGTCTCAGAACTCAAAGGAAACAGAGCCAAGAGTTGACCCAAACTTAACAACAAAACACACTGTTTGGTCTCTACTATATGGTCACCTAAGTTTTTTTTCAAGCTCTGGAATATAAACCCAAGGCTTAAGATGGAAAAAGAACCCATTTGGTTTTGTTTATTTTTGCTAAAATATATATTTAAGAAAGAGAGAAAAGTTTATTGATCATTACTATATTTCTAGCTAGGACTGACCAACTAACTAAAACCCATGAGTAATTTAAGTAAAATATAAAAAGGAAATACCTTTATTTCAAGGTTACTGTAGCAAGTAAACAGAGTATAAAAAGAGAATGTGCTACATTGTAGAAGAGGGGGCCAAAAAAATGTAGAGCCGGTGGAGAAGACACCTGCTGCTAGTTAATGCATTCTAGACATGGTAGGGAAGCTGTACCCATGAAATGGCCACAGTATCGTAGTCTGACGAGATCTGTGTATAATGGCAAAACCAGTTGACATAAAATATATTTAAAATAAAATGCTCCAAAACTTAAAGTTGAGAAGGACTAGATAGTGTTTGTGGCTCTCTGAGCACAACTGGGAGCAAACAGGAGGAAAATGATGAATGTAGGACTGAGTAAGAAACGTTTCCCTTGAGTTCCACGATTTGAGCAGTTCAGATTATCTAGGAGGTTGAGGACATGGCTACTAGCCTGACTGCCTTAGGAGCTACCAATATCTCTGTTGGATGTGAAGTCCACTATTTTCATTCTTCTTATATTGCCTGCCATCTTGAATGATTTGGGGGAAAGTAACTTAGTCGTGCTCTGCAGAGAGTCATGTTTCCAAACTCTGCTCTCCCCAGGTTCCAATACATCAAACATGTCTCCAGGGCAACTCTGCTATCTTCTGACAGCCCTGTGAGTTTGGTTTGCAAACTCTACCCAAATTTGTGTATTCGCTCCCATTATGCAAATTCTATTAATCTACAGCTCTATGCTGTGCTTCCATATTCCAGTCTTAATAATAACATTAAAAACTTTCATTTAGGGAAATCATATAATAAAACAAGCTTGAAGGCAGCAGGCTGTGCTGTGCATCAAATCCCATATTAGCATGATAAATTTAATTTTAGTTAAGTATTAAATACAAAGACTCTGACAGAATAAACACCTTAAACAACATGTAAAATGTAAAAATTCAACTACATAATCTCTTCTGTTTCCTTAAAAAATTGCACTCTTTTTTCTCTTCCACAGATGTCCTTCACTTTTATTTTCCATTTTTCCATTTTTAGGTAATTTTGGACTTACAGAAAGTTATATAAATTTTTAAAAATAATTTATTGAGAATTTCATACAGGGATATATGCATATAAGGTGTTTTGATCAAATCCATGCCCACTCCCTCCCCTCCAACTCCTCCCATAGGAAGTTATATAAACTTTTATAGGGAGGTCGTATTTATGTATCCAACTTCCCCAGTGATGACATCTTAGGTAATTATAGTAGACTATCAAATATATGAAATTTATATTAATATATTCAGGTTATAATTTCAAAATAAAAACGTTCACCCTTAAGATAATCTGAGCAGTTTTAAATTCCCTTCAACATTTTGTTCCTACTCAGAAGTGCTAACTACACCAACACCATAGGTGGTTGGTCCACACAGCACAAAGTAGGTTCTGCCCCAGAGAAGACTTTCTCATTTTTGTGGAGATGGTACTCGGTGAAACTCTAAATCAATGTCATAGCACAGGAATGGCAGGGAGCCTACATTAGAAGACGTGGGTATAAGAGCTCAGATTTCAGATGTCAGAGGGACACTGGGGTGGCCTGTCCTTTGGGTAAGAGATTTATTAAAAGAATAATTAACGTCATAAATCTACAGACAGGCAACAGTAAGGAGGGACTTCTGGGAAGAGTTCAGACCCTAATACCATAGACAGACAGCATGTTGGGGGCTCTGAAGAGAGTTCAGATTGGCCATGAGGCAGAGTGGGGGTTCCCCTCTTACAGGTTTCCGGGGAGGAATTCATCCATGCTATGTAAGTGATGTGTAGCCCATAGTAGGTGCTTGCATGTAGATTGTCTAATTCCCATGTAGTAGGAGAAGGGGAAAAGTTTGGCCCTTTAGTTAATGTGTGTCTATCATATGAGTTGTACCACATACAGTTTCTGATAGATAAGGGTTCTTGATAAACTTCCTTTGGGAAAGTGAGGATTCCAGATCCACAGACAGTGACAGAATGGTGCCTTGTATTTGTTTTACAACACTGTTTGGGTAGAGAGGGAAAGAAGTCTTTGTAGCCCGTAGTGCTGTTTGTTTGACCTTGAGCAAGTCATGTAACTTTGACATGGTTCTGGGTCTTCAAGTATGAAATGAGGAAACACTGTCGCTGCCCACTTCATAGGGTTGCTTCAAGAATCAAAGGTGATAGCATATGAAGAGACAAGGAAGGCTTTGAGTTAGCCATGGTGGTTTATATTCCTTCCTGAAACTTAATGGAAATTACAGACCTGCGGGTAGGCTTTTTTTTATTTTTTATGTTAGTCTTCAGCTTACAAACAGAACAAAACTATCTGTTGATACTCACATGGCCTCAGATTTCCATCCAATGTAAATGATCTCCCCATTTTCCTACTCTTAGTAGAACAGGCACTAGCAATATACTGGGCAAGCTCTGTAACTCATTATCAACATACCCCTGAGGCATAGAGTCTATTTTAAAAGAAATACTTTTTAATAGCTTCTTCTCTAAGATTGGATGCATTTTAAGGAGTTTTGTCTTTATCCATGCTATTGGATCCTTCTTTTTTCAGACCATAATATGCACAATAGCTGCTCCAGACAATATTGAGAGTGTCAGTCTACCAAAAATTAGGCCATGGATGGTTTATGAAGTAGAGATGGAAATCATCCAAGCTTTGTCATTCCTTGGTCTGTCGGAATATATTACATAAGCTCCCAACTCACTGGTGGATTCTGGTTTGTGAACAGTAAAACTTTCAATTTGGGATAGAAAGGTAAAGAAAGATACCGTAGAGTTAAAAAAAAAAAAGAAAAAAAAAAGAAAAGAAAATGTATATCATGACAAGAAACAAAGTTCATTTAACTGAAAGTTTGGGGTACCATATAAAAATGTTGAGATGTTTTCTTCCTTCTTCCCACCTCTATGCAGGCTGGCATGGCTCTGACCTATGACCCCACAGCTGCCATACAGAATGGGTAAGTAGATCCCATATCTCTGTGTTCTTTGCTAAGAAATCTCTAAGCGCTGAACCCATATCAAAGAAAAATGTTCCAATAAGGATTTCCTTTTGTGTAATGTCTTTAACCTGAGCATTTCCTGCTGTTGCAGGATCCTTTCCAGAGGTGGTCATGATGGCCACTCCCACAATTTTTCTACCACATTCAGCCCTTCTCTGTGAGCTGCTCTTCTTTTCCTCTCAGACCTCCAAACTGAGATAGTAGAAAGAGCTGGGGATAAAGGAGGACGATCAGTCACTTAAGCTGGAAGAGTTACTGGTGTCTCAAGGACCTATGTTGCTCTGCTGTCTCCATGCAGGTCAACCTTGAAATATGTTTACTGTATGACCAGGTGAATTTCTGCACCAGGAGTCTGCTGGGGCCAGGGTCAGGGTCAAGCTAGTTCTGCAGGTGGTTGTATCTTCACTGTTTCTACAGCTGTAAACTTGCATAGCTTCGATTCTTCCTCTGAAATGTAAATATCATCAAGCTGCATGGTGTTGCCGCTCAAAAATTGCTCTGTAGTTCTGTTAAAATTTTTTTCTCACTGTGGTTACTTTTGCTTGGCTTTTGCATACTTGCAATTGGCCTTGAATATTTGTTGACTATGGTTTGGATTTTGTTTTCAATCTTCCATCTTTGATTTCTTCCTTGGATGTTATTTCTCTGCCTTTCAATCTCATGAAACAGTCATCATGATGAAGTCTTTGTCAAACATCAATAGAGAGGGTAAAATAATCGAATTCCATATCTCTATTGGTCCAGTGACCTCTAAAGAGAATTCATAGAATTTTGAAAGTGTTTAAATAATTACCTCTTTTCTTACAGTTTTTCATTCTGTTGTTTACTCAGACATTCAACAGACTTCTAGTGAGGTTTCCAGGTACAATGTTACAGTCTATAGACTTGAAAAGCAACATCTGAGGTTGGAAAGCTGTCTCGACAGTCAAGAGCTCATACTCCCTTCCCAAGGACTCAAGTTCAGTTCCCAGCACCTATATTTGACCACACACAACCTCTTGGAACTGCAGGGGATCCAAAGCCCTCTTCTGGACTCCATGAGCACTGCACTGACCTGCTCATACCCATGCTTAGATACATATACATATACTAAAAGCAATCTTAAAATCGATGTATGAGACAAAATATTTTCTACAAGAAGATCATTAATCACCCAGAAATAACCAATGATAGTAAACTAGGTAGAAGTCTACTCCTTTGTCTCTTAGCTCAAACTTGCCTCCAGGAATGAAACTTAAGGATAGTTTTCATTTTATCCAATAAGCATTTATTTATTTCCAACAAGATTCTGTAGACTAAGTGACTAGGAATCAAAGGAAATAAAAGAGAAGAAAGTCCTCTAGAATTATTTGTATAAATGCAGATGAAATAGATAACTCAAAAGGCAAACAGCAAGGCATGATGTGGTAGATGCAAGTGACCAACTATAGTATTACAATATAGATAACATGTATTTAACACATACTATATTATGTAATATATGATACATACTAGTTATATACTATACATAGCATTAAATATTATACTATACAATATAAATATTACTTCATTTTTGTAAGTCAGTGAGCTGTAGAGCTCGAATACACTTGATTTGAGAGTCAACAGAATACATATACAAATGAATACAAATTTATTTTGAAAATCTGTACAGCTAAGGAATATAAAAGTAATATTTATGACTATATTCCCACTGATTATATTCAACAAATGTTAATGTTTTCCACTGTTCACATATATGTATAGATACAAACATCTTATGTATACAAGTGTCTACCAATATATCTATCTATATACTTATTTATGAAAAGCAACTGCTTTCCTCATTTGTTTTGGAGATGGTCTCATGTAGCACAGGTTGACCTCAAACGTACTATATCACAAAGGCTGGCCCTAAACTCCCGATCCTCCTGCCTACATTTCCTAAGTGATACGATTGCAGATGTGAGCTGGCATGCCCTGAAAAAGCATGTAAGGCCTATATCAAGATTTAGGGTGGCAGCAGTAACTTTGACTTTTCTAGTTTTTGTATATGGAGAACATACTCTTAAAGACATAAATATAGATTGAGAATAATAAAGAATGCCACTATTTTATAGTTAATTTACCATCAATAGTTTAATCACAGTATTGATAATCATTATTTAAATCAACATATATTTTTAAAGGTGTGGTTATATTATTTTACTTTATTTTATGTCTGTATGTGTGTACCTGAATGTATGTATGTGCATGTGCATACAGTGCTCATGGAGGCCGAAGAGGGGAATCAGATCCCCTGGAACTGGAATTACAGGTGGTTCTGAGCCACCATGTGGGTGCTGGGAACTGAACCCAGGTCCTCTGCAAAAGCAGCCAGTGCTCTTAACAACTGAGCCATCTCTCCAGTTCCTAGATCAATAAACATTTTTTTTCTGGCCAATATTAGAGTGAAATTTAAACACTATAACACCTTACTCATAAATTATTAAATATAGAGCTTCAAAACTTTAGGTGTTATCTACATCTTGACTTATCCCAAGATGGCATTAATACTATGGGGAAAACAGTGTTTTCGCTATGATTTTCACTCCTATTCAATTGCTTCCAAAGCTACTGTATAGTTTTTTGATTATGAAACACAATCCAAAGCTTACTCCTGAAGAGTTAAAGTGACTTTTTATACTTATTAATGCTGTGTCCTTTGAATGAGGTAGTATGTTCCCATTTTTCAGATAGGAAAGCAAAGCCACTTGGTCTGAGGTGGAGCTGAGAGTCAAATGGGAGGATTTTGTTCTCAGGAGAACCTGATGTCTCATCCACTCCAGCTCCAGCTGGGATAAAGAGAAAGGCAGCACTGAGGCAGCAATAGGATTTGACCTTGCATTTTGGGGGGTTTGGGGTGAGACAGCTCATTAACAGCAGGTATTCGGGAGATGCTCTCTGAAAGCATAGATTGCCTGATGAGAGCCATCTGGAGAAAGTGGCAAGCAGACCAGTTTTATAAGAGTGGAAGTTTCCCACAGCAGCTGAGTGCATGTGGGAAGTTGGGCTGGAGGAAGATTTGAACCTGTAAAATTTGTCTTTTTATTGACACAGTGGTATGACAGAAAAGAAATGAGGAATCCAGAGATCTCTGTGTGAGGAACATTATTGATGGAAGATTAAAGCAACCTAAGGCCAGCTAGATAGCTCAGTTGGTAAACATAAGAACTGTGCCACGGAAACATAAGAACCTGCATTCAACTACCCAAATCAGTGTAAAGAAAGAAAGAAAACCTAGGTACAGTGATATGCACTTATAATCTCAGTGCTGGGCAGACAGAGACAGGTAGATCCTTGGGGCTCATTGGCCAGCCAGCCTAACCTGCTTGGCAAATTCCAGACCTGAGAAAGACCTTGTTTCAAAACACAAGGTGGATGGTATCCTGAAGAATGCCACACAAGATTGACCTCTGACCCCCTCATATGCATGTGCACGCATGCAGGTCCACACATGTGCACATACAAAGAGCATACACTTACACACACAAAAAGAATATTAAAATAGTCCAGTTATAAAGGGACAAGAGCTTGTTCTAAGTTGCTTGAAGTGTAATTGGAAGAAGGGAACAGAGGAAAAATCTGAAGAACTTATCCATTCATGTGTAAACGAATAACCATCCAGATGTTCTCTATGCAACACCTTCCACTGAGAACTGATAACTTGTTTAATAAGACCAGCCAATTATTTGCTTCCCTATTTCTTTCTGTTGTACTGATTGAAAGGACATTAAAAATTTTTTATTCTTTATCTTCTATAAGCACCCAAAGGAGTGTTACAGGTGTCCTGGAGAGTCTGGCCTGGCTTGGGAGTCTAGTAAAGATGTTTCCCAACAAGCCACACCTTGAGCCAAGCTCCGACAGCATTTAGCAGCTAAGTGACAGCCAAAAAAAAGGGAGGCAGATGATTCTGATTTATACGTGTGTGTGTACATACCCTTTTGAGACTAAGTACTAAGGGATATTACATAAAGAAAAGATAGTTGTTCACAAATGGAAAGAATTGGAGCTATCATCATTTGGATGCCAAGGAAGTAGACTATGGGGAAATGATATGTTCAATTATTTTTCATTCATTCATTTTAAAACTTATTTATTTGTTTATATTTTATGTGTGAGTGGTTTGCCTGCCTGTATACAAGTGTGTCATGTAAATGCAATGCCTATAGAAGGCAGAAGAGCATGTCTAATCCCTTGGAACTGGAGTTACAGATGGTTGTTAGCCACCATGTGGGTGCTGGGAACTAAACCTAGGTCCTCTATAAGAGCAGCCACTGCCCTTAACTTTAGAGCCATCTCTCCATCCTCAATTCATTTATTTTCAATTATGTACATATGTGTGGGGGGCAGTGTGTATGTTCATATGAGTTCAGTTACTTTTGAAGCCCAGAAGAGAATTTCATACTCGTCTAGAGCTAGAGTGACAGGTGGTTTTGAGCTACCCAATTTGGGTGCTGGAAAATGAACTTGGGACCTCTCCAAGAGCAGTCAGTGCTCTTAACCACTAAGCCATCTCTCTAGCCCCTAAAAATGAACAGTTTTCTAAAGAAACAAGCTTCTTGTGAAATGCTAAGCACACTCAAATTCTTGGTTTTATTTAATCTCACAAAATAGCTTGATTCCAAGTATCAGTCCTTCTCTTCTGCATCCTTCAGTCCAAGGAATATCCATTCATTCTGTATACAGAATCAAGTCTAGCCTCTCCTATCTGTGGTTGGCACGAGAAGTGTTCCCTGGAGGTCATGTGTTTGAACACTTAGTCCCTAGCTGGTAGCACTGTTTGGACCTTTAGGAGGTAGAGATTTACTGGAGGAAGTATGTCATTGGGGTAGGCCTTTATAACCTGGCTCGACTTCTTGTTCCCTTTGTGCTTCTGGATTGCCAGACTGCTGGTGCAATGTAAGAGCTAGTCTCATGCTCCTGCCACCATGCCTTCCCTG